TGTTTGTAGTAATATGGCTCAAAATGCAAGTGCATCCACTTTCTTACCTAGCAATAACTATTTTGTAGTTTGACTATCAGATAAATTTCATATCTACAAAACAGCCATGTGCAAGGTTATCCATCTTAGCATTATTTATAATGACCAAATATAAACCCCAAGCGTTCCCATTAAAAATAGAACTGGCCAAATTATGACAGCAATGAAATACCATGTAGTTACTACTTGTATAATGATAAATGTTTCTTGAAAAATATACAAAACCCATTGGCATCTGTAGCCCTTAGGAAGAAATGCTCATGGGTGGGACAGGGCCGAAGGGGAGATTTTGTATGGTACCCTTTGATATCTCTTGAGCTGTGTGAATGTGTTACTTATTCAAAATATGAGTAAAACATGGACTACCATATGTGTTTGTCACATGAGAACTTAACAATGTATTGGTATGGAACCAGCTAGAAGACTAATTGCCGTAATGGGGTAAATTACCCAGTTTCTATCTGGAAGTGGTGTTGGAACTTCAGTGACATTAATTAGGTTGCCCACTAGGAAGGAGCTATGCATCCAAGTGGGTTTTGAATTTGCATCCACCTTAAACTATACCTGGAGCCATATACAAGCAGTGAAAACTACACATCTCAAGAAGAGTCTAGTTTAAAGGGCAAGCACCCAAGGATTATAACCATTAGGTAGACATAATAACGATGTAGACTGCTGCTAAAAGTGAGGCGTAATTCTCTAAATCTGAGTAGTCAAAGAGTAGATGGATCATAGAAGTAGTGTGCATGCTGCCTCTAGATGTATTTAAACAGTGGCTGAATGGTCACACTCGGGGATGGTGCAGAGGAGAGCGAGGCATCCTGCCACAGATACAGCCGTGGCACACATGAAGAGTGAGTGACAGCTGGGTATTGTTTTTCTCATTCTCTTCTGCTAAGTGAGAAGCCAGCTACTGTCACAGAAGCCATCAGGTGTCACTGGCTCGCAGAGCCTAGCCTAGCCTTCAGAAATGCCCACAGTGTTGTATTTGCTGGAAGCCATCCTCTAGATGATGATGCTTTAAAAGGAGTCATCATAAACCTTGCTTTCTTGTTTGAAGATAATCCTTTGCGTTTACTAGTATCTCAGTAGTTCCATGTTTTCTCAGCCAGCTGCAATTAGTAATTCCTCCAGGATTTTTGCTACCTTTGCCTAGAACCAGCGCCTATCCAGAGAAAACCAGCAGTCTGTTGTGGCAACTCCATTCTACAATAAGACAACAAAGAGAAAAGAGCAAGTCTGAGAAAGATGTAACCCCTTCTCCCCTCAGTATTTTATTCAACAGAAAATAAGGAAGAAAGAGAACAAAGAACAAGGATAAAAGGGAAGAAAGCTGTTTGGGACTAAGCCAAATAAACTTAAAAGTGGTTTAAGGAATAAATTGGTGGAGTAATTCGAATCATGGGCAGGTGCTGTGAATGTAATTTAGTAAATGCTCGGGAACCTGCCAAAGAAGAGAAAAATGTGTTGCTTTTGAGATCATTTCCCAGCAGCTTCATAAAAGAAAACTGATTACAGGAATTTAATAAGTAAAACAGAGCCAGAAATATTGTAATCAAATGAGTTTTTAATTACATTTCAAGCAGAAAAAAATCCAATTTGTGCTCCTGGAATTAAAAAAATAAGTTCTAGAGAAATGCTTTTGTAACAGGAAAATAACATAAACACTAATTTCCATAGGAATTATAGTAGTCAGTTTAATTAAAAGGCTTGATCAGAGGAAAGAGGAGCTGGTGCCAAACCATACTAAATAAAAATCATGGCAGTCAGTTCTCCCTTGCATTCTTGTTTAAATGATAACACAGGAATCAGGCATCTGCGTTTTCCTCATGAAAATAAAGAGGGTTTTGATCACTGCCTGAGTTGTTAGAGTGCCTTGTATTATCATCATCTGAATTAGCCAGTACATATACCTGATTTTAAAATAGATGCTTTTGCTTAATGACATAAACAGCGGTCATTGTTGAGAGAGGGAAAAGTGTATTCTCTGTTTATAGGACACTGACATCAAGAGAGTGCCACTTCATGTCAGCCCAGGATGAAATCTACTTATTGGGAGAACTGATTATTTCTGGGTTTCCAATCCCCAATGCACCCCTTCAACTTATATTTAGTTACATATTGGCTATTTCTCTCTGTAACTCCCTGGAAAGGAGGACTGGCTATTTAAGGAGCTGAGTCAGATTTGTGCCTAGGTGACAGACATCTTGCCCTCCTCTGTAAAAGGAGCTGCTTTTCTTCCTGGAGGACTTTGCTGTTGACCATTCCCTAACCACAGAGAATACCTCAGGAAAGCTTTTCAGAAGTATTTAGTGAAATTACAAGGGTTTAATTCTGTCTTCACTTTTTGTCTCCTTTGTGATAAATGGGACAAACATGCAAGCTATCCACATGGGACCAAGGTTATAATCTGTGGCTCTAGAAAAACAGAAGCTGGATGGGATGGGGCCAGAAGGGAACCCTACTGCATTGTTGGTGGGAGTGTAAATTTGTTCAACCACTTTGGAAAGCAGTATGGAGGTTCCTCAACAGACTGCACATAGAGTTCCTCTATGACCCACTTTTGGGCATTTACCCAAATGATCACAAAAAAGACCATACTAAAGTTACCAGCACAACTATGTTTATTGCAGCATTATTTACCATAGCTAAGATATGGAACCAACCTAGATGCCCCTCAGAGGATGAATGGATCAAGAAAATGTGATATATATATATGCATATATACACATACACACACACACACACACACACACACACACACACACACACTGGAATTCTATGCTTCCATCAGAAAGAATGACATCGCCCCATTTGTTAGGAAATGGAAAGACTTGGAAAAAATTATATTAAGTGAAGTAAGCCAGGCCTAAAGAAACATAGGTCTCATTGTTTCCCTTATTTGCAATAACTAGTATATGTCTGGGACAAGCAGAAAAGATCAAAAGCTATGTACATATGACCAGCTAAGATGATGTTAAGCAAAATAAACCCCAAGGTAGGGACACAAGTGGTTTCTTTTTCTTTCTTGCTATTGTTTCTAACGTATTTATAATGTAACATATGATTTTTTTGTTGCTTTGTATATTCCTCTCCCATGGTATAATCCCTGTTCTCACTGTATTTGATGTCGGTCTAATTTGGGGAGGGGAGGGGAAAAAACAAAATGTTTAAATAGGGATACAGGTCTTGTACAAGATGTACAAGACACTATGTTGAAAAATGTACTATACAATTTAAGCAGGAGGAGTGTAGTTGTGGAGATGGGAGGGAAGGGATGGTAGAGGAAAAACAAAGGCAGAGGCAACAATGCTTGATAGCAAATGTACTCATTACCTTGCTCATGTAACTGTAACCTCTGTGTACCATATTTTTACAATAAAAAACTTATTTTAAAAAAATAGAAGTTAACTGACCCAAGCTTGAAGTGGGTTATCATTCCCCTGGCCTCAAAACAAACCTAAAAGTATACTTTATAGGGCTTTGTGTACAAAGACAAATTTAACTCAGAACCCAGGGAACTTGGGCAAAACATACTGGTTGACGGGGTCTGAGAGAAAACTACAATACTCTTTCTATAGGGAGGAAGAATATAATCTTGAGTCAGGCAGAGTGAATATATATATCACTTCCCTATTTTCCTGTAAAAGGAGAAATGTAGGACTTTGCATTGTGAATGATGTAAAGTAAAATCAAATGGCCAAATAGACCTTAGAAGGAAATCAAATAGCCCAAGTAAATCATGAAGAGATGTTTGTAAGTTACTCAGGGCATGAAATCAATTTGAAGTCAAATTTCACTGGATAGGAAGAGCCCAAAGTGATATAAAGATTATACTTAAAGGTAAATGTCAGAATTCTGAGCATTCTACACATATCCAGGATAATGGATGTGATAAAATTAATGAAGCAAAAGAAGGAAGAAAGGAAAGACAGAGATGAAGTAGTAGGAAGAAAGGAAGCTTCTGGTGCCAAACAGTCCCCAAACTAAAGACAATAAGAATTATACTCAGTGTCCTCAAAATGTCACCTTCATTAATATCACATCTTATGAATCACAAAATTATTAATTAGGTTGATTGATTCCTGATAAGAGTTGAAGTCACACATTTTCAAGAACCATACCTCCTCTTCCTTCTCCTTCTCCTCCTTCTCCTCCTCCTCCTCCTTCTTCTTCTTCTTCTTTTTCTCTTTTTGATGTTTTAAGAGCTATTCTTCTCATGCTACATCCTCAAACAGTTTTCTTTGTACACTCATTCTATATGGCAAGCTGGTGCCTTTCCTTGATTTTTACTTTAGAAAAATTTGGTGTTAACCATATCTTCCAAAACAAATAATAAGATTACAAAAAGAACCTTTAACTTTCTATGTGGATTCTTATTTTGTCCTAGAGTAGGAGGTCTAAAAATCATGTGTGATCATTCCTAACATGGGAGGAACATATTTCATCATTTTCAAAATGTAGAGTCACTGTGAGGAATACAGTGTGTCATACAGTAACTGCACTACCAAGAGTGATCTAGGTTGTAAGGCCATAAGCTTAAACTGGTTATTTTATTTTTAAATTATTTTGTTTACAAAAAATGTGATATGAAAGAAAATTCTTAGATGGATCTGGTTCAAAGACCTTGAAGTTTGCCCTTATCTGGTGATACCCCACATTTCTTCTTCCCGCATCTCTCCCACTCTGGCTGTGAAATAGGACAGGAGCCTATGGGCTGCCTCTCCCCTGGAGCTGTACACAGCCTGACTTATCTTTTCATTTCCTGCACCGGTTATGTTAATATAGCAAAATAGTGCTAAGTGCATGTTTACTTTGGATAAATAGCTCGTGTTTGCCAAAATAATCATCTTTTTCATCTCATAGTCATTTTCACTGTTCTTATAAAGAGGAAAGGTGGAAAATATAACTGTCAATGGCTTGGGGTCCTCTCTCCCCAACAGTTTCTTGTTTTGTTTCAGGCGCTGGTAAAGGTCAATGTGAAACTGAAGCCCATGCTGGATTCAGTGGCTGCAAACCGAAGGAAGTGGGAAGAGTTACACCAAAAAAGACAGCTGGTCTCCGCTGCCTCCCCTGCGCCAGCCAGCCTCCTGGTGGCCAGGGAGGACAGACAGTAAACCCCAGTCCTCCTGTGTCTCCAGACACTGCAGCTCAAAGGCCACCGTCAGCCAAGCCACATCATCCTTTTTGTTTTAAGTTTTTGTTGTTGTTTTTAGCTTCCATAAATCTAAGGATCTCCAGGATTGCTAGGAAGCATGCTTGGGCCTGCCTTGATGTCTGGACAGTAGCACAGAGAGGGACAGAAGGACAGAGAACCTCAGCTTTCTCTGATGAAACCATACCAGTTCTGGAAAAAGCCTGGACTGGATCCACAGACCTCAAGATCTACAGCCAGCTCCACTCATTCTGTGTGGGGAATCCAGAGCCGTCAGTGTCATTAGTGCTACTGCTTCTTGTATACGGTTTTTTTTGTTGTTACAAGCCAAACACATCTGTCTTTTCAGCCTCCCCTAGAGTGTCCTTACATGCCAGACTGTCCCAGGAATCCAGATTTATATTTTGCAGAGGTATTGTTGTGTTCACCCTATAGCTTCTTAAGAGTGAGCCAAAGCTTTTAGAATCACCTACCTGAAATTTAAACTCACTATTCCTATAAATTCCAACCAGTCATCATTTTTCCCTTAAAGGACCATAGCAGAAATATAATAAATGTATTTTGGCTGGTTGTTTTTACACAAGGTTTGTAAGTATCTGATGAGATTATAGTCTATCTTTTAAGAGTTTTAAAATCCACCCTTCATTGTAGATTAAGCTTTTTTCCCTAGGAAGAATAGGTTATTTAATTAAGTCAAAGATGAATGGACATCTATGTAAGAATGTACCAGAAATGACATATTAACATCAAGAACTATCACCAATCCTGAGAGATATTTCACAAGACCAGCAGGGTTATGCAATCCTCCTAGTGATGTTTTAGTATCAAATTTAAGGTTACTACCAGTATCATCTTAAAGACAAACACAAGGATCCCCAATTTTACATTTTTCCTTAAGTTTAAGAAATAATGCTTGGAAAGTGGAGAAATAAGTCCCCAGACAGAAAACACATATTCTATAGGAAGCCAAGTTTATAACAGATAAACTAGAAAGCTGCTTTGCTGCTCATTTTGCCTGAGAGATTGAAGACATACTATGTTTTTTTCCCCAAAGAACATGTGACTAGAAGCTGGACCTCAATCCCTAGCTATGAAGCTACTGACTGGATGACTGTGGACAAGTCACTGAACTCATTTGTCAAGTTGGAGAAATATTTAGAATCTCTGGTCAAATTAATCTTTTAAGGAATCCTCAAAATATATGACATCTAAAGGCTAACTAGTCTTCTGTTTGAAGGGTTAAGGGACCCTGAGCCCTTCAAATCTTCATCTACTTGATTATATATTTTGCACTCCACAAAGAAACACTGGGAAATCAGAAAATTCCTGGATGGGATAAAAACTGAGATTCATTCCAGAAAACATTGCTGTTCTTATTTTTACTGATCAGTATCAGTTATTAACTTTCTTACTGAAATCGTAAAGAAATTGAGACCAACCTCTACAAGGAACATCACTTTCTTGACACAGAGGAGACATTTGGGAAATGTATGAAAAAGACATGACAGAAATTAAGGTAGGAATGGGGCAGGCAGTTGTAGAGAAGTAGTATTGTTATAGCAAGAAAGTAAAAGAAAAATATAAACCAAGTAAAAGGAGAGAAAAGGAAGAAGAAACAAATAGGAAGACCAACACAGGAGAGATGGGAGCTGAGGCAGGTGGTTAAGAGAACTGCCAAAGGAAAAGTGAAAGTCAATCCAAACAAAGAAAAATGGCACTTCCAACCAAAAAAAAAAAGAAGGTGCAGAATCCTATCATCAGTTGAGCAGGAAAGAGAGAGAATTGGCAGGAAGGGGGTTGACAAAGGAGAAAAAGGAGTGGGAGTCCTAAAAAATAATGTTCCTAGATACCCTTTACAGCTGTCTCTGCAGGGAAGACTGGAGACACTGGGGGAGAAAATGAGTGCAGGAAAAATTGCCTCTGCAGAGCAGGTAAGAGGAGGTTGTTCAGATTTATGGATTTTATTAAGCCAGTTTTCTGAATCACTCTGCTATAAAGGAAAATAGCTTCTGCAGGGCTGTCTCCCCTCCTTCAGGTAAGGAACAAAGGATGGGTGGAGCTAAGAACAGCCCTTGGTCTGTGAGATCATCATGTGTCCGCTGCTCAGAAACACTGCAGGTGTTCCTGGGTATTATGCCACATCATGTTTATATCACAAATGGGAATTGAAAAATCAGTCTATGTGAGGCAGCGATGAGCTCACATCTGTTGTCCTCCCCAACAATAAATAAATAGCCTGACAAATGATGCCAGTCCATCTATGGCAAAATTTTAAAGGATGTGTTTTATGATAAAAGTGGACCCAGGGTCTGTCAGAACCTGCAGGCAGCTACAAGCACTGTAGCTGTCCTGAATGTTGATGCTGCATATGGCTAAAAGGAACATAATTTATAGCACAAACCCTACAGATTCCACTAAGGTTGAGTTTTCCTCTCATTTTCTTGCCTTTTTATTGGCTTCACTGCACGGTTGCCAATAGCAACCTCCACTGGTAGCAAGGGGAGTTCAACACCATTGCAATCTGCCATACAGTGGAGCCCTGACAATGTCAACCATCAATCAAGTGACTGTTTGTAATTGCCTCCATCTATTTCTCCTGTCTTGAGATATCTTTCCTATTGGGGAGGCGGGGGGGTGGTCAAGATTTAGAAACTGCTGACTAATGCTAGGGGTCTTTTTTCACGACAACAAAGTGGTAAAAAGAGAGTGGCAGCCTCTTGGTCCAATAACCTTGAGGTTGACCTCCTGAGAGTTTGAGATATTTTTAATCCCTGTGTAAAATAATTTATAACTTCCCAAGAATGTGAGGTATGTGTGAGTATCCCTACCTATTTTCCACTTTTCTATAATAGAGAAGAAGAAAATTCCCCAATCCTTGTCATTAGTGTTCACTATCGGAGGAATGCATTGGAAATGTGAGGCTTCTTGTAACTTCTACTTAACCAGTATGTTTGTTTCCTCAAGTCTCTTGGCATTTATGGTCGAAATGATTTCACCTTATTTTTTTCTATGAGTTGTGGGGTTTTTTTCCAGACCTGATGTTTATTCATACTACTCAGTATGTAAATAACATATGCACAATTTACAATGCAGCCAGAAATCCTAACACATAAAGACAGCTTGGCATACTGTGAAAAATGCCAACAAACACACAGTAGACCAGGACTCTATCCTATCTGGCCACTGGCTAGACTTGTTGTCTTGGGACTCAACAAGTCTCAGGTTTTTATCTGTTTAATAAAAGCACTGACATTTGTTCAGTTTTCACATGAAAGAACCAAGCTCTTTGCTTTTAAAAGTTCCTTCAGACAATTTTTACTTGTATTCCCAAAGAAAACAGAAACAAATCTAAAGAGGTCATCTTCTCACTAAAGTCAAAATGTAAAGATATATAGATATTAGATATAAAAAATCCTGTTCTAAATGTGTCTAAACCTACTTCTAGAGATTACAAAAATATGATCAATATGCTTTTAAAATACACATATATTATTCACTCAGAATAATTTTAGATTATCTTATATCACAATATCTAATAAATAATATTCATTAACTTAGAGTAAATTTAGAAAATAAGTCAAGAAAAGTTAATTTGCCTCTGTTTTCATGGTTTCTTCAATGTGAGATACCTATACATTCAGGTATTTTATATTTGCAAATGTGTTTTGTTAATATTAAGTTTAAAACCTTTTATTAGTGAAATATTATTGTATTGATGTTATTGGAATTCAGTTGTTTTTACATACTTTGGGACAGATTTGGTGGTATACACTTATAGTCCCTGCTACAGGGGTTGGGTAAAGAGACAGGTTAAAGGTTTTTCATTTCAGGCAAAGTTAGTGTAAGACTCAACCTGAAAACAAACTAAAAGCCTAAGGACTTGTGGTGTGGTTTCTCATGGGTAGAATACCTGCCTGGCAAGTGTGAGGCCCCGAGTTCAATCCCTGGTAACACAAAAGAAGGAAGAAAGGGAGGGAGGGACCACAAAAGAAGGAAGAGAGGGAAGGAGTGAGGAAGAGAGGGAGGGAGGAATGGAGGGAGAGAAGGAAGAAAAAGAAGGGGAAGGAAGAAAAGGAAAGAAGGCAAGGAAGAAAAGGAAAGAAGGCAAGGAAGAAAAGGAAGGAGGGAGGGAGATATAAATCATATTTTATCCACTTTAGGTCACTGAACTGAGTCAACTCAATTTACTTTGTGGCTCAATTACTTTTAAATCATTTCTCCCACTGACTCTTACAAATTACAAAAAGACACAAAAAAGTATTCTCCAATAACACTGTGAAACAAGTTCCTTCATTCAGGATAGAAACCTAAACATATTTGGAAAAAAATATTTAATATAAAGAAAAATGCTTACAGTATGTTCACAAAAAAATTTAAATTTAAATTTAAAAAAAAAGAAAAATGCTTTGGCTTGGCAAAAAAGAAAACACAGAAGGAATTCACTAAAGCAAATGAACAAAGCCTAATTTGGGATCCTAAAATCTCTGGCAGTGCCACTAGAGTAAAGTTTCATTATGTGCTCCCACATAACATTCTGAATTGTTATTCTGCAGTGTGTTATAAAGATCTCCCCAAACTCAAATGTATCAGGAATGTAAAGGTGAAGTCTGGCCACTAGAAGATCACAATTCTGTAAACTTCCTAAGTGAACAATAATGGACTAAAGCACATAGATGGCAGAAACAGAAAGGGTTAGGTCTGGAGGATTTTGTGATTAGCAGTTAGACTTAGTGGAGTCCGATGTTGTACTTATATTGTGTATATCACTGTCTTTTTCTTGGCTACCAATTTTGTGTTATACATCTTTTATAATTTAATTTGAGTATCCTTGCATGTTTGCTAATCTCTCAGCAGTGCTAAATATAAGTTGTTTACCTGGTCATTTATCTACCCCAATGTCATTGGATGGATACACTGGTTCAAAAATAAGTTCATTTTATTAAGTAGATAAACTACTTGTTGTGT